CAATTAAAATAAGTTTATCAGTTGTTTATAAGTATTAAATTAACCACACTCACTGTATAACCACAGTCATTTGATCTATTAGCACTTTTAGCTAATAGGTGCTTGCTAATAAATTATACGCAACTAATATAGAAATACATTATATATGAGTAAAATGATTGCATACAAAATCAATGTACACACAGAGAAAGCGTTACGATTTATGCATACTAAATTGCCCCTACATACTTATAACATACACCGCCCCCTCCCCCCACCCACACTCTGTGTACCGTTGTCTAATAGGCACGCATACAGTGAATCAGATTTGTTTGGTTGACATTTGGCTGGAAATAAAAACACAAATAAATATTGCATTCAATTGAATGGCACTTCAGTTACGGGAGCGACGGGTCACTCGAAAGCACAGACTTTTTGCTTGAATTGTGTTTACAGTTAGCGCTAAATGTGACAAACGATTGACGCAAACAAATCTCAAACACCAAAACACAAGCGTTTTTGTCGTCTGTTTCGTTGGAAAAGTGTTTTTGTTTTTGAACCCAAATAATAGTCATATGTTTCGCACCGCAAATCACATCCGATTATCTTCTCATCACTTGTGATATCACTCGCGCGGACACAATGGCGTCAAACTTCAGACTATCGGACGACGAGTCGGCCGCTGATAAACGGCTGATACCGACGACGTCGACGATAGTCACCGCAAGCGGTTCTCAATCATCGTCGTCACCACCGGCGCCGCCATCCGCGGCCACAATGAGCCGCCAATTGTCTAAATTATATCCAATCCATTGGCTCGTGTGGCACAACCGACAGCAACAGCTGGAACTCCTACTCAACACAACGCCCCATAAGGTATGGCATTAAAAAACATGGGATCCGATGGCGTGTGGATTAACCATTTCGTGATACCATTGCAGTTAGACTTAGAGACACGTGACCCGAGGGGTCGGACACCACTGATGCTGGCGGTGACGTTAGGCCACTACCCTATGGCCAGACATCTACTCAGACATAACGCTAACGTTAATATTGAGGACTCCCTCGGATTTAATGGTAAATTATTTTTGTGGATTAATTTATGTGATTGTCTTAAGTGGTTGTGTGGTATTTATGACCATTATATTGGTGTATATGTGATATCAGTGGACAGTTAGCTATAGTTTTTGATGTGTATTTTGTTTTATAATTAATTGCTATTCTAATGGGAGTTAGCGATGAATAATGCATTTGATTTTATTGCTAGTTTTGAGTGAATTATTAATTAGTGAATAATTACTACAATTTATACGAAAAGCCGGTTTTCACGCAGTGTTTCAATGAATTTATATTTATTTTTATTTTTCACAATTTTATTGACATTTGTATACATTGTCGTAAAATACATAACCATTTAATGGTTTACGTATTCAAAGGTCAAAAGTAATGGTTGAGTGAACTGTTATGTTATGAATGGTTTTCATTCATTGAGTTATTTTCAGATATGCTTTCCTTTCATCTATTTATAAAACTTTTTATTTATGTTTTGCCGCTATTTATAAAATTTTTTAACGTTTATTGTCTGCGTTTACTCTAGTATTACACGAAGCGGTCAGTAGTGATGAGCCGGAGTTTATACGGGAAGTGTTGGAGCGCAGGGATTGGCAACGGTATACGAGTCGTGTGGACGGCATTCCCGTGTTGTTAAAGAAAATTTGTGATGTATTTAAATGCCTATAAATTAATGTTTAAAAAGTTTTAATTTCAAAAATCTATAATCTCATAGACACCAGATTTTTACGTGGAAATGAAGTGGGAATTCACGAGTTGGGGTGAGTGCTGACCACTTAGCCATGTTGTCATACAGTGTGCTAACCATTTGTTGTCCTAATCAGTTCCACTGGTGACCCGTATGTGTCCGAGCGATACCTATAAGATATATAAGAGTCGGTCGAGCGTTAGGATCGACACAACGTTAGTCGGTTTCGATCAGTCATCCAATTGGCAACGGGGTAGCCGTAGCTATATATTCACGGGCACCGGTATGCTTTGTAAATGTATACTTTTAAGAGCTATGTATTGAAATACCTGTGCTATCATAGAGAACGGCGCCGTATTCATGGAAGTGGATCACGACCACAAGCAGGTGATAGTGGAGACCATGAAGATGTTGTCCCCAGATATGGAGGACACCATCGAGATGTTGAAGCCATCGGACGAGTTGGTGAACGCCCGGCTCACCACTCCCACCAGCACTACATTCATAGACACCGATAAAATACATTTTGATAGGTATTCCTCGAAATTGATAGAAATTTATTAGTTTTTTTTGTAACTTATTTTGTGTTAAATTAGGTGTAAATCTGGAATAATAGGCTTCAGAACCGATAAGATCGAGAATATTAACGGTTATGAGTCTAAAGTGTTTTGCGCCCAAAACGTGGAAGTGGTCACTAAGACCCGTACGGAGCACCTGTCGCCCGAGGATAAGGAGCGACATAACGCGGCCGCCGCTAACCGATTAGCGCCCCTCCAGTCCCTGTTAGGCATGATTGAGATCGAAGAGAACACTCCCAGCCCTCCGGTGGCCGACGAGTCCGTCAAAAACAAAGACGATTTGCCGGTTAACCCACGGAATCCATTCAACGTAACGGCTGTCCAGTACTTTGACGCCGATTACGACCTGAAGGACAGGGATATCGGGCGACCCAAAGAGATGAGCACAAAAATACAGCGATTTAAGGCAAACCTATGGCTCTGCGAAGACTACCCGCTGTCACTACCGGAACAAGTGTTGCCTATTGTTGACCTCATGGCCATCAGTAGCTCTCACTTCGCGAAACTCCGCGATTTTATTACATTACAGCTTCCGTCGGGCTTTCCCGTCAAAATCGGTACTAATATTGTGTTTGTTTTGCTTTTTAAATGTTTTTTGAGTTCTTTTGCTATAGATTTTGATTATTTTATGTGTGTTTTATACAGAGATTCCATTGTTTCACGTATTGAACGCCCGGATCACTTTTGGTAATATATTCTCATTGGACGAAGCGGTGTCGGGGGTGACCCCTATCAGGGATGAGGCCGCCTGTGCCTGCGTTGTCGACGAGTCCTGCTTTGATCCGCCGCCTAATTATCGGAAAATAGGTATTTGTTGTCATTTAGACAAACGGCTATTAACTCATATTTTGATGTATTTTCTGTGATTTTTATGAACTATTTCTTTACCATTAGATATATTTCTGAAAACGTGTTTTTTCTCTCTTTTTCTCTTTCTTTTTCTCATTTCTAACCACTGGTTGTATACGCTATACGAAAGGCATTCATCCAATGGCTAGAATCCGGTCCTATTATGACTGAAAGGCAGTCACAATATAGCAGTTCCTATGATAGAAATTACTGTTGAGATTAGACACTACTTCTCTATACTCTCTTTGATATACAATATGTGATTAAAAACACTTAATTGTGCGTTAATTTAATGTAAATTATACTATAGTTTGTGTACACGTGAGCAATATATTGATGAGCGTTTGTCTGTATTTTGTAGGTACGGGTGAAATGAGGCAAATGAATATGGATGACGACGATGTGGTGCAGTACGCCATCGAGCAGTTCCTCATGGACGAGGGCACTGAGACGGATCAGGTGACCCTCTGGGAGGCATTGAAAGCACAACAGCCCGATATGGACCAAGACTTGCAAAGGTATGTCCACTCATGTGCTAATTGTGTGACTGTTTAATCAATGATATTTGTGGAGTTATTTGTGTGCATTTTTTAGTTACATTGTTTATTAGCATAGGATTTAGATTATGCTTTATTTATTACTAATTAATTTTGTACTATTAATATAATCTTTTAGTACAGAATTATAATTATTGTGGTTTAAGTGAATGTCGTGTGCTATACAGTATAATCTACACTGTAGTGCACTGTAACAACAGAATAATTTATTTATTATTAGATTACAAAGAATTCAATTCTTGAGTCAATGAGACGTTAAGTCATTAGAATATTTGCGAATAAGTTTTTAATGATTTATTGAGTTTTTTGTTTTGTTTTATTGAATAAATGATTACTTAATTAGAAACGAATGAAATGTTTTGTGTATTTAATAAATGACGAGAAAAATGCATTTATTAAAGAATTTCTATTCATAACTATGAACTCAATGATAGAGTATTTGTTTAGATTTGTATGCAAAAGCGAAAGCACCGGTAGTTTCATAATTTTGTGTATTTAATAAATGACGAGAAAAATGCATTTATTAAAGAATTTCTATTCATAACTATGAACTCAATGATAGCTTATTTGTTTAGATTTGTATGCAAAAGCGAGAGCACCGGTAGTTTCATAAGTTTTACTGTGCTTTTTGGTGTATTTCAGAGCAATTCAAGAAAGTTTAGTCGAATACCAGAAAGGAGTGAATAGAAGGGACAGTACTTCAGATGAATCTCCGCACGAGTCGAGTAAACCGGCGAAGTCTGCGTCCAACGGATCCATTAG